CGACCACACACACACACACACTGTTTCTTTGTGGTGTGAGAATAAAGATTTTCATTATATATTAAACATTGTATCTAGTCTATATTTATTTCTGCAAACTCAGTCAATATAGGGAAAATCGAAATTACTTTGCAACATATCTTGCTGAACCTCCTGTTGTATAGTGGACCTGCTTCATCTACTTTTTGGGGAAATGTTTTTTTAACTGAATTCTTAGAGATAATATCATCCATATGTTATGTTCATTTCAGTGGTGAGACACTAATAGGTTTATTAGAAATCATCTCAATAGAATTGCACATTCTACTTGTCCTACCAGGAATTTCCAAAAATATTTCACCAGAAAGAATACAATATTTGCAGTAGTTTTTCTTCATCTAATAGGACTTTTACTGACATACATTCAAACATTTGTAGCAACTTGAAGTTGTAACCTCAACAGTGAAAATATCTAAGATTCATCTGTGAAAGATAACCTAAGATATAATGCATTGTAACCAAAGTCCATTTCTGTAGGTGTAACAGGATTATTTCTATTAAATTCATAGAAAGAGATATCTGATACATTTAAAACCATACTAAGTGGCAGTTAAGAAACCTATTCTCAAAACCTTAAGTGTCATGAAGTTTTATATAATATGGAACTTGTTACAGAATCCAATATTTGAATGGACAACATACCAGTTCCTAATGATTTTCAAAATAATTCATTTTTAACTAATTCTTGGCAAAAAACAACAACAAAACAGTTGAGCTTACAACAGAATGAGATGCCTGTATTAAGATAATCTTTACATACTACCCCATGTACATGTATATTGAAAAATATCAGGCTATTCGTGTCTCCATGATTGTTATTCATTGCCTATTAATTGTAAATGGTCTTAGTCTGGGATCTTGATGGGAAGATTGCCCTACTGCTTTTTCTTGATTTTCGGCAAGAATGCCTCATATGGCCACCTTCACCACAACTGCTTAATTACAACCTTTTTCCTGGAACAAAACTTTTAAATTTGGCCTGCCTGGTCACAATGATAAGCTGCTCAAGGAATGGACAATACTTTGTAACTCTTATTGTCAGTGTTAATAACTAATAACAATACTTTGTAACTTTTATTGTCAGTGTTAATAACTATTCGTAACAAAAAGTCATTTCATGAGTTCACAATTATATCACACAAAGTTTATACTGTTGCTGTATATGAAATTGAATAGTTATTATTTGTTTAACTTTTGCAATTGAACAAGTCAATTTTAAATAATGTTCTGACATTTAATCATAAAAGGTGGCATATGCTCATTTGGTTTGAAATAAATGACAAATTTTCATTTCCAAAGTACCCATTCATCTGAAACTGAAGCTAAATACAATTTTTTAAATCAAATGTTCTCATGACTTTATAATCTCTTTCTTGCAGGAGGTCTTCTAAGTTCTATTCTTAAAAGCTCTTGAACCTTGGCAACATTTCATTATAAAGGAGATTTCTTTTTATCTTATGTTGTAGCATCAATATAACTAATTCTCTGCTCAGATCGTCTGAGATTACAAATTATCCTTTTTATATTAACAGTACCCCTTCTAAATAATGAGAAACTCCTATAAGGTTATTTTGAGCACTTAAATACACACTATATAGAAGACCAGAATGCAAAAACTGTGTTGAGTGCCACTTGGAATGTTTGTTACTTCATAAATTTTCAAGCTATAAATATACAATATTAATTTCTTATGTTTACTTGTGTATTACTATCATTATTGCATTTTATTGAATATACCAGCTCCAGCTATTAGTACAATGATATTTCATTCAGCATATTGAAAACTAAGTAACTTAAATTAGTGTAATACCTCTTGGCACATAGTGAAGGCTCTGACACAGTTTTTACACTGATTAGCATACCTGTGTTGAAAATTCAAGTTGGTATGCCATGGACAAGCATTATACTTGAATGTGAGGGAAAATAAGGATATCTTGCCATTAAGGATATCTTTAATTCGTAGTAGAAATAAGAATGTATTATTATAATTTGTCTGAGCATATGACACATGTATTAATAGAACCAACTTTAGCAGTACTGCAATAAGAGAAATATTGTGATATGTTTGTCTCATAAACTTAACCTAAACTTTCTGTGTGTTAAAAAAACTGTTAGACTTTGTTATTTGCTTATTCATAGTACTTTGAATTAACTAAGAAAAGTTTATTATCAAAGAGTAAAAGTTAAACCTTTTTAGTGGTTTATATTTTTCTGTAAGTTACAAATTTATAGTATGGGATTTCCCATGGCTCAAAGCCGTAGATGAATGGAGATCACTGCGGGCTTAAGTCTAAACTTAAAATAGCTACTTGTGAAAGGTTCTTGTTTATTTATCATACTGTTGTGTTACATTCTCTCTCCTTTTTTTTTTTTTTTACAAGAAGTATCCATTTCTTTACAACTATAACAATTTACTTTTATATTTGCAGAGCTTTTTAATTGATGATGAAAAAGAAGGTTTTCTATTAGATGTTGGAATGGCATGGCTTAGTGCAAGATGTGTTAGTTTTTCCCTTGACAGAATTTGGCAAGGTCACCAGACAACGAGCTGGGATGATGTAGTATCTATTTATGGGTACTGCTTCTACTTGCCATTGTTTTTTACTGGCCCTATCACATTGTATTCTGAGTTTGTTGAACAAGTAAGTTAATTTTGTCAATTATAATGTTTTACATTGTTTTTTTAATTCCAAAATTTCCCTATCTGATGAATCTTTCACTTAACCAGTGAGGGCCTATTATGAAAGAGCAATGTGGAGATAAAGTAGATGGTAGTTATAACAAAGCGGCTGTTATCAACAATATCATGCATAAAAGTAATAGGAATAAGTCATTATTATCTTAGATGCTATCACAGTTAGTTATTAGGAGCTTAATAAGAATTTTCTTCTGTGTGCATATGTTATGTTACAACTTAGATGTAACCATGTTTTTCAACATGGCCATGAATATGAACTGGCTTTACCAATGGACTATGGCTCACATTGTTTCTGCATTGTTTTTTGGATATTTGAACAAAATTACACAAGGCTATGCTACATCAGCTACTAATTTGTAATTTTGAACTGATAGGCTTAAAGGATAGTAGCTAGTCTATAGTGCCCATGCCAACTTTTCAACAACTCTAATCAAATAGTAGGATTTCAACACTACTCTTATAATGCATTCACAGCTCCAAAGTTTGGATCTGCAATATGGCATGCTTACCACTATTCCATGTGTTGCTCTAACATTAGAAAATTAAACTCCATTCAACATTAAACCACCATTGTTTGTGTCCGTTTACAAAAAGAAATGAACAAATGATGTTTGATTCTAAAGCAAATGGTAACTAATCCTAATTAATAATTTAAACATTTCACACAAACACCACCCAAACAATCTATATATTATCAGGGTAGATAAAATCACTAACTGAACTAACTTTTTGATAATGTTTAATGAGGAACTTATTAAACCAAATATAAACTCAAAAATACAATTAACAGCAACTTCTGATACAGTACTTACCTCCTCTTACAATATTATTTCTTCTTGTTCAGTGCTGCCCTCTATATGCAAACTTTTTCTTTACACATGCCATAAGCCTTCTGCTCCCCCTCATGTTTGAATAACTATATTCCAACATGTCTCTCATGTAAATCATCATGCATCATCTCTTAACCAGTAGTAGCATATGCTCACGTGACGTATGTTACTTCCTTTACACTCCTCTACTGAAACTTCACTTCTTGTTTGGTAGTGTTTGAGCTAACCATTTCCAGATGAGTCACAGGTGAAATGCCATGTCATTGTGTTTGTTGACTTGCATTCAAAATTTTATTGAACTATTATTTCATGAATTTATGTCAATAAGTTTGGTATCAAACTGTAGATTATAATTCAAATTTTAGTATTATACATTACTCAATTTCTTAATTTAAAAGTAAATATTAAAAACACAGTTAAGCATTGTTTTTTGTGTGTCCACTACTATGTTGAATGCAGGCTGGTTCAAATTAGATGTTTGTGATGTCAAAATACTAGGTCTGTAGTTTTGTAAGAACTAGGAACTGAAATTATTGATATTGACAAACTAGAATATAAAATAAGAGTCTCTTATCTTTTCAATTTGTTAAGATATTGCTTATATAATAAATCAAACACAGTGGTACCTGCCACCTCTTTACAATTTTAGAAACACTCCCTTATATGCACTTACTTCTCTATATGACATGAATAACCAATCAGAAGCTCAGAATGTCCCCCTATTGGCTTTCTCAGCCATTTTAATGCCTTTGGACGCTATCTCTTTCTTTCAAACCAAGACTTCAAGGAGGTAGGTTGTGTCTTTAGTATGCTGAAACTTTCATATTTTTTAGACTGAAATACAGCCTAGTTACTAATCTTGATAAATTATAGTACAATTCTGTGGTATTGATATAGTAATTTATGATTTAGTGGTAACTCAACTGTATATATATAAAACTTAAAAAAAATTATTTTGTTTCATATCCTCCACGTGCAAAATTTTAAAAGGCTTAGCAAACTACATCAAGCAGCAACTGAGTACAAAGGTTGTAATTAGAAGAGATAATTGTTTACTTTATTTATTGTTCTATGTTTTAAGAAAATAAGTTTTAAGTACAAAGGTCATAACTAGAAAAGATGATTGTTTGCTTTACTTCTTTATTTACTGTTCCATGTTTTAAGAAAAATAAGTTTAATAACTTATTTCTAAATAGCAATAATCTGTATACATCTATAATATATTATAGATGAAATGTGACTGTATTTTACAAAATACTAGTCTACTAATACACAGCCAAGTCAGGTCAATTTGTAAAGACTAAAGGTCAGTTTTATATTATTGGATACGGTAACATGAGTGCATGTGTGTCACATCATTGTAACTTCTGTATTGTTAGCCAGGCATGGCTGAAAGGTCAATATAATAAAAATTATAAATATATGTAAATGTATAATATTATGAGATTTAAGCTATTTAGTCTAAACATATATATTTTTGTGTAATAATTTGTAGTCATTCTAGAATGAAAAGGCATAATTTATATTTATTTTCTAATTTTTTTAACTTGGGTACGAGATTGGTCAAATTGACCAAACCCATGCAGAGAAAATAAAATATAAAATTTTCTGAAGAAATGTTTGATAACTATCTGGACATTATAAAGATTTCACATGTGAAATTTGAAAATTTTTTATAAACAAAACTATTTTTAATCTTGAAATGAAAATTACTTTGCATGTTGGATACGCAACATGGAAAAAGAAAAAAGGCATGAGAAAAATATTGCTTTACGAAGCTTAAGACTTAATAAAAGAAATTGATATTTTGCATATGAAAGCATTGTAATGTTTACTGATAATCTGTCAAATTTCGTTAACATATGCTTACTAATTTATAAATTATAGCCTGAAAACTAAAACAAGAACAAAATTGTTATGAGGTCTGTCCCAGGGACTAGGCCTGTGCTGAAAGAGTTAAAATGAATTCTTTTTGTGCCTAGTGCTTCCAGTGTGAATTTTTTTTTCACACAAAGTGGTTACTTTTGACTTTATTTTATACCAGTTCCTTTTTGTCACTGTATTTCTGCATTCAACTTTTGTGAACCTTTTCTTGTGCTATGAATTCCGAAGTTCATGTTACCACTTTGGGGGTCACACCAATGACCAGTGTTTTTTCTCAGGCCTCAGATGCGATTGACCCAACAGTGGATGTCTCTGTTTTTATATGTCAGGAGATTGAGTGCTACATGGGTCAACCTTTGTCCCCTGATATTGCTCAGGCTCCTCCTCAGTTGGCTGATCTTGTTCAGAATGATGAGGGCTTTCATTGTCTTTTCCTGTCTCCTGAGTTTGCTGTTCCTTCCCATTTACAGCCTGAAGAATCACCTAGGCCTAATTCGGTCTGTACAGATTTTGTGTCTCGGGTTTGTGATGTTTTGTCCCTCTCCCCTATTACTTATTCCCCTCATTATTCCTTGTTACATGAACAAGCTTCCCAACCATTTTTGGTTTTTTCCTCCCTCCCCTCATATTTGGGTACATGGAGATCAATTTGTCTCATATTTAAGTGGGAGGATCAGCAGGCCATGCCCCCTGAGAACTTCAAACTGATCAGTCTGCCCTTTCTTATCATTGTGCGGATTATCTGTGTGTAAATCAGCTGTTTTTAGGATCATTATTATCTATTTGGGGGGTGGCTCTCGAAACTAATGTTAGTTTTACCCATGCTCAGTAATCTTGCCTATGACTTACTCTAACCAACCTCTTACGGCATCTTTCTTCTAAACATCTTCTATCAGAGGCTCTGCACTGAAATCCTGAGGAGTTTTTTGCAGATACTCTTACACTTCTCTCCTCCACTTTAACCTGCATTTCTTCTTTGACTCTATCATTATATACAAGGTTTCTTTGGTCATGACAGTTTTGGCTCAGATCAATTTACCCTCAACCAGTCTCAGGGATTTACATCTTGCACCTTTTCTGAGACGTTACATCTTTGATACATTCCCAGAAACTATTGAGCCTTGGGTAACATCGGTCAGCCAACATGTCGACCCTTATGACTTTTGTAGCCCATTTGTCTGGGTCAGAGCCTCATATGCGACTTATTCCCATTTCTTGTCCTTCATCCTTCCAACTCTTACCCATTCCTTCTAAGCAGGGTACTTCTTGTTGTCAATTTCCTCGATGACAGAATCCCCGTCGCCAACAGTACCAGTGACTACCCTGTGGGTTCGGGTCTGGTGGGAGCTCAACTATTACAGTTTCTTCCTTGCTGGCATCTCTTCATAGACGATCAATGGGTAATAAGGGTTCTATCAGAATGATTTGTTATCCAGTTTCTTTCCTCACTTCTCGTGACCTACCAGTATTTGTCAGAAGCAGTTCGAAAATTGCTTTTACAGCAGGTGAACAAACTGGTTCATCATCCTTTTGGATATTTTTATTTCCGTCTTTTCATTGCCCCTAAGAAAATTGGGGATTGATGGCTGGTCATCAATTCATCTTGCCTCAACTGATTCATCATACTCTCCAAGTTCACCATAGCATCTTTTCTCACCCTCAGATGGGCATTTTCCCCAGGGTTGTGGAGGACAAAGATGGATTTCTCCAACACTTACCTTCACATCTCGATAGCACATTGGTCTCGACTTTACCTTTGGTTTGTCCATCTCAAGGTGGATTACCAATTTCAAGCACTTCCCTTTGGACTTCCTCTAGTTCCCTATGTGTTTCATTGCATAGTCTGAGCTTTGGCCAGTCATCTCCATGCTTTGGTGATGCAATTTCATTATTATATAGATGACTGGCTCATTCCGAGCAGGAAGCAGCTACTCATACTCACCAACTCCTTTCTGTGGTAGCTCGGGTGGACTGGTTGGTCAAATTGGAGAAATCATTCATTTGACCCACTCAATATCTTGGTTATTTGGGGATCTTTTTTGACATGAATATCAGTCACACTCTGCCTTTCCTTTACGTCTTCATTTGATAGAATTTTTGGTTCACCATGCCCTCTTGGCTCAGTCACTTACTGCTCGTGAAGTTCTATCACTTTTGGGGATGTGGTCCTCTATGACTGCACTGGTCACTCTAGGTCATGCACATATGAAATCCCTTTTGTGGGTGCTTCGCGAACGATGGAATCTTGCTCAAGATCCTCTTTCCACCCTCATTTCCATTCGTCCTACCTCCCTGAGAGATTATCTGCATTGGTGGCTGGACAAAGCCCATACGTCGGAGAGCATGCTGTTTCCTCCCCTGCATCCAGATCTATACCTTTTCATGGATGCATCCCTTCAGGAATTGGGCATGAGTCAATCATCAGAAAGCTTCAGGCTGTTGGGCTGCAGATGAAACCGTCTTACATATCAATGCTCTCCCACTTCTAACAGTACATCGGGCATTGCATTACTTCCTTCTTCTCACCCATCTTTGTCTGGTGATTGACCATCCGGACAATTCTATGGTGGTTGATGGAACATATCAACCACCAAGGGAGCACCCAGTCCAGAGATCTATGTTTTCAGTCATTGGATTTATTATACTGGGCTCATGCACATCACATTTGCTTTAATGCATGTCATGTGCTGGGTGCTTTCAGTCTCATCGTGGATCTTTGTGTACCATCCCATTCAGTTGCTTCATCAGGTGATTTCTCTTGTCCATTCCACTTTTAGTTGGGTCCTTCTGATTGCTCCCTGTTGGGCAGCTCATATTTGGTTCCAAAGGCTACAATGTTTGCTCATATCACCACCTGTCCCTCTTTCACCTTCTCCCTCCCTTTTTTGTCAGCCTTGATCCCACATTCTCCATCCCAATCTCAATGTCCTGTGTCTTCACTCCAGGCTTTTGTCCGATCCTTGACGAGATGATCCAGTTTTACATGTTGAGTCGCCTCCTTGTTAGCTCATTCCATATGGCCATCTTCCATGGAAGTGTACCAAAACAAGTGGAAAGTATTCTGCTGTTGGTCTGCTACCAGGGAGTTTCCTGTTGACAAACCTTTTGTGGCTTATGTGGCAGAATTTCTCACCTGGCTCTTCGATCGTGGGTTTTCAGTCTCTTCACTTTCCAGATATTTGATGGTCTTATCTCATACCTTCTGTTTTTTCCCGATACCATAAGGCTTTTATTTCCTCTGTTCTTACCATGCTCATGCTCCTTCCAGATATGTTGACCTACCAGATGTCCAGCCCTTCCGTATTGAGACATTAATGTGGTCCTCCATGCCCTTACTTTACCACTATTTGAACCACTTTCCATATGTTCCTTGTTTTATCTGTCCATTAAAACATATTTCCTCCTTCTCTTAGCCTGGGGATGTTGAAGGTCAGATTTATATGCCATTGATGTTTCATGTACCCTTTACCATCCTACCTATATTCTCCTTTCTCCCAATTGTTCATCCTTTTCTCCTATTTCCCTTCCTTCTATATCCCACCTTTACCCAAGACTGGATCCGAATAGACATGTGTCCAGTCAGGGCCATTCGTTGTTATGTGGCAAATACTGCTCCTTTTCAGGGTATGTCACCATAAGTCCTCACATGAGTTGATTCCATGCAATTGACATCCTTTCGATACAGGATGTTGATTCCTTGATCGATAGATCATGAATGACCCTTGTATCATACCCAGATATCGGTGTGGGCTGTAATATAGTAATTCCAACAGGGATGGGGAGTGGGGAATGGAAGGCTTGTGGCGTGCGTAAACAAAAAGTTTGAATATAGATGGCAGCACTGAACGAGAATAGCTAATCTTTTGAGCAGAAGTACCTGTCAGAAGTACATTTTCAGTATAGGAAAATTATAACTTTTAAAGTAGGTAAGTTCCGATTTTAATAATTACAATGTTTTGACCCATAGTATCAAGTCATCATCAGATAAGAGCTACATTTTTGACTGCAACTTACCTGATTATGACTGGATACTATGAGTCAAAACATTGTAAATACTAAAATGAGAAATTGCTGCCTGAAAAAGTTGCTGTTATTGTATTTTTGGATCAATTATTTATTAATAGTATTGCTATGTTGTAAAAAAGAAAGATAGTTAAGTACGTCAGTTTATTATACATCTTAAAGTTTTTATATGTACTGTTTTACAAGGTTCTTGATATCTTTATTCTTTCTCTGTGTTTCTGAAGTACACTAATACTTAATCTGATATATGTATTTAATTAGTGATTATTTTACTTATATTCATGTAGTAAAATAATCACTAATTAAATACATTAAATACATTTTTTCTCTTATGCTACTCTTTTAAGTGAAATATCATTGTACAAGAATATTAAAGGAAAGTAAAATTACATTTCCAGGATATTTTGTAAATAAGTTTTTAAAATAGCTTATAGCTTAATATGTTAGATATTTTGTAAAAACTACCATTTTGCTTATCATCTGTATTTTTTTATTTTCTTTATGCAGGAAATTTATATAGTATGAAAAATTTACAGTTTAACTAAGATAAATATAATGTTATTATCTCTTGTAGGATAAAACATTTTTTCATTTTACAGCTGAATACTTCCAAACACTGGACTGCAAACAGATTAATTAACACATTCATGTCATTTCTTCACTATCTTGTGGCGTACTTGATGCTGGAACTCTTTCAACACTTTGTTTACTCTTCTGCTATTCAGTTTTACCCAGAAGTGGCAGATAATTTTGACTCCTGGACATTGTGTGGTTTGGGTTATGCTTTACCTGTGGCTTTTTATCTGAAATACTTTGTTATTTATGGAGCAGCTGGTACTTTAGCCTCACTGGATGGCTTGGCTGTTCCTCCTCCCCCGAAGTGTATCAGTCGTCTTCACAGGTGTACATTTCTGTGGAGGTAATTCAGTTGAATGGCAATCTTGAAAACATATTTCTGGTTATTAAAAATGTAATTTTATTTCTTTATAAGGTTTACATTTAATAAACTAAATATTAGAGATCTACCTGTGTAGTTAGAATATATTTCTGGGGCCTGTATTTTGTACACATTAGTTTATAATGTTGATTTATAAATTTAAGTGTAAGTTATGCTTTTGATGGCATATTCATTAAATCTCAAAGTATCTGGAAAAATATTAACTCCTATTGAATCAAAGGGTAAAATAAGTTTCAGTGTGGTTAATTTCAATTTTAACTTTTTTTAAGTGCAATTGATTCTTCATATATTGGCAATTTTAATCTTATTAGTTTTGATATGTTTAAATGTAAGAAAATTTTGGTAGTACTTTATCTCATTAGTTTTCACATTTTTTGAATCTGAAAAAAAATTTTGTATTTAAGTGCTTGTGTGTTTGTTATCTTGACAAGTTGTACCAATGCACAATCAAGGACAGGGGGACAACATTTTGGACAATGAGATGTGTGCATAAATACCTTGAATTAAAGTTATGTTGCATTACAAGATTTAAAGCAAAGGTAGTAGAGAATTAAACTATGAATTTATTTTTACAAATGTATATAGATTTTTTTTAACAAAAAAGAAATTTTGTGACAATTAATAATGATGTGGTTAGGGGCTATTAAGATAACTTTTTGTTTTCCCTTTCTGATAAAGCATAGCCTACAAAATAGCAATTGGAATGTGCTAAATCATACTTTCAGAAAAACAAAAGCATCATGGGACATTTAAGTTTTAGTTTGTATCTTACTGTATATCTTCATTTTTCAGTGTAAAACTAGTGTCTAAATCATACACTGACCTCTAATAAGAAAAGTGTAGTGGATGTCTCCCCTTGCCTGTGTGCTGGCAACAATTTAGATCGTATATGAAATAAACATTATTCTTTTCTATAAATAACTCAAGCTGACTTCATTTGTTAAAAAGTGAATTTCACAATCTAAATAAATGCAGAAATGATAAAGTAACTATTTTTAATGCTGGTAAGGACACTTCTTGAATTTTATGAATAAAAAATAACCAAGGTGATTTTTTTTAGTTATTACTTATTTGTTTGCAGACACTTTGATAGAGGCCTTCATCTATGGATTTTAAGGTAATTTGTTCTTTTTTTTTAATTCCAAAACTCACTAGTAGTTGGTTTGTAAATTAAGAATTTATGAAGAGTCTACAAATTTAACTGTATAGGTAAATAACTAAATTTTGATTCAAGTGGGGCACAGGTTGACTTTGTAGTAGAGCTCTGGATTTCATAGCTATTGAGGTGGGTTCAAATCCATGTGATACCACAAAATATTTCTTGCACTTTAAGTTGTGCATTATAAGACAATAGTAAATGCCTTAGCACATCTGATATCATAAAATGCTGGAAATTGGCAGCCTTCTCTTTGATAAACAGTTCAAAATTAGAGATGGTGACAGATAGTCTTAGTAACATTACTATAAGTACAAAAATACAAATACTGATTAGAGTGTATGATATGGGTGAGCTTTGCTAACTTGCATAAAGATTTTGTTTTCAACAAATTTTGGGCAATGTTTCTGAAAAAATTTCAATATTTAATAGCATTCCATATCTTTTTATTGTAAATTCAAAATCCTGAACCCATAAAATTGATCTCAAATCTGCTTACAATAAATATGACTTATTCTTCTTGTGTTATACAAGGTATGCACTTTTTCTGATCACTACCAGAATGTCATGTAAATAACAGTTGTGGAAATGCTTAGATTGAAAGAAATAGCCAATTGTAATGAAGTGGTAGTCAAAAAGCTGAAGGTAGTATAAAAGTAGGAACAGTTTATATAATATTTCTTTGAATTTGTCATTTTGTCCTGCAACCTTCTTTGAAAGCTTCTTTCGTTTTTATGTTCAGATATATATATATATACTGTGAGTTTTACATTAGATAATTTCATCCAGTAAGACTCTTGTAGTACTCCATGCAGTGATTAAGTTTTCTATTAAATATTAGGATGAGAATGAAGAAATGTAATAATGTTTATAAATACTTTTGAAAGTTAATAAATGAAATATAATTTGTTTCAGATATCTATACCAACCAATTGTAGGGGAATCTGGAAAGTTATGTAAAAGAATATTGGCATCTTCTGTCAGTTTTGGTTTTGTTTCCCTCTGGCATGGATTGGATAAGGCTGTTTGTATATGGGGATTTTTTAATTTTGTTGGTGTTGCATCAGAAATGCTGGCAGGCTGGGTTTCTTCTTCCAGGCTCTTCCAAATATTTCAGGTATATTGAGTTATGAAAACTAGTGTAGTTGTACAAGCAAAAAAAAAAAAATAAACATATTTTTTTCAAGGTAAGACTTATTCAAAAGCAATCTAACCAAAGGACAAAGCAAACTTATGGTGATATAGTAATAACTCTTTTATAAGTGTACTATGTCATATTACTATATAGTAATAACTCTTCTATAAGTGTACTATATCATGTTACTATATAGTAATAACTCTTCTATAAGTGTACTATATCATGTTACTATATAGTAATAACTCTTTTATAAGTGTACTATATCATGTTACTATATATTAATAATTCTTCTATAAGTGTACTATATCATGTTACTATATATTAATAATTCTTCTATAAGTGTACTATATCATGTTACTATATAGTAATAACTTCTATAAGTGTACTATATCATGTTACTACATAGTAATAACTTCTATAAGTGTACTATATCATGTTACTACATAGTAATAACTTCTATAAGTGTACTATATTATGTTATTATATAGTAATAACTTCTATAAGTGTACTATATCATATTACTATATAGTAATAACTCTTCTATAAATGTAATATATCATATTACTATATAGTAATAACTCTTCTATAAGTGTACTATATCATGTTACTATATATTAATAATTCTTCTATAAGTGTACTATATCATGTTACTACATAGTAATAACTTCTATAAGTGTACTATATGATGTTACTATATAGTAATAACTTCTATAAGTGTACTATATCATATTACTATATATTAATAATTCTTCTATAAGTGTACTATATCATGTTACTATATAGTAATAACTCTTCTATAAGTGTACTATATGATGTTACTATATAGTAATAACTTCTATAAGTGTACTATATCATGTTACTATATAGTAATAACTCTTCTATAAGTGTACAATTTTTTATTTGTGATATTTATTATATTTAATTTCATAAAATAAATATCAGAGTAGTCTCAGCTGATCAGACAACATAATAATGTAATTTCTGAGGATTTAGATATATACACTAATCATATTTTTTATATATCAGTGTGTGTGTGTGTGTTTTCTGTAAAGTTTACACTGGTCATTATTTTCTGAATCTTGGTGTTTGTTTCCTGTAAGCATTACATTAAATAGTTTTTATATTTTAATATTTGTGGCTCTTATAAATGAAGTGTTCACTAATCAAAGTGTTTAAACGTTAGTGTTTTTCTGTTTGATTTAGACCAATAATTATTTGTTATACATTAATTCTTATGTTTCCATTAATTGTTATTTTTTAATATTTTGTCTTCTGTGAAATGTGTACATATTAGTGATTATTTTCTTGCAAGTTTTACACTAATCAAATAGTGTTTATATTTTAATATTTGTGTCACCTATAAATGAAGAATTCAGTGGTTATTATTGTTTGCATGTTGCCATTTATGTCTATTATGAAACTTATATTGATTATTATTGTTTATGTTTTACCTATACAAAGTGGGTGAAAAGTGACAATACAGTTGTTTCATTTAGAACATAGTTTAATTTCTAACTGTTACTCTGAAACAAACAGCAATTAAATTGTTTTAAATTTTCTTTGTAATATCTCCGTTAGTACCAACCATATAATATCAATTGTATATTAACTTTTGACCTATCTTGTATAATTTTCAGAGCTTATGAGTGGAAGCAAAGAAGAATGTATAATAATATGTCAATCACACTACATCTACCATATCCAGTACTGCTAAAAAGGCCTTTCCTAACTGATCATTATTATTCATATCTTGGTATTTAAATTTGTGATTAGTGCTATTTTTATCATCAGATTTATTTTTTCTGCATAAAATATAACCTAGTCAGTATTATTTATATTGAAAAGGGGATGCCAGTGGTGTGCCAATACATGCTACAAATAGTATTTATTTAAATATCAGGATATGCTGTCATAAATACACAGATCATCAATTTGAGGGGTTTACATAAAGATTAAGGACTTAGGCAGGGATTGTGAATAGAACAAAACAATTTTATTACTACTATGACAGCATACAACAACAGTGCTTTATGAGAATAATTACAATTAAAATAAATAGCTTTTAGACAGATTTTCCATGTTTTTAACAATATTTCAAATAATTATATTAATACTTTGATCACATTAATCATTATCTCAATGCACATTTCTACATTTACAAATTTACATTTCTAGATATTTGTTGAGAAGGAAAATTTATTTAAATGAAATTCAAATATAGAAAATTCTCCATGGCCGATCCAGAGATTTCTGTAGTATATATATATATATATATATATATATATATATACACACACACACACACACACACACACACACACACACACACAAGTAGTAGTAAGAACGAAGTACGGTACTACTAGTAGTACTAAGTAATTCTACTACTAATACTAGTTAGTTACGTTACGTTACGTTCGTTCGTAGGT